AGAGTAGGAAGGGGCTGGGTGGAGGTATGACGATGGTGGTTTTGGCGGGTTCGGGAGACAAGAGTGACACTCGTTCCTCGGTGAAATCAGGCGGAGAGAGGCTCTAGCCAGGGGGTTTTGGGGGTAGCGAGCGTAACGGTGGTGTTAGTGTTGTCTGTAGATTAGTGAGTCGGTCAAGAGAGGTGTTAGGGGCTGCGCCCCGAGAGGAGAGGCAACTGTCATAAATTTTGGAATGTATATGGTTGCACGTTAACGGAAGATCCACTCGTGCTTCGCCTATCACCATTGAAGGGAGCATGACCACGGGCAAGGCAGGCATAGTGGAGTGAAGAAAGGAGGTGTTTCCCTGACAGCTGTTGTTCCTCGCCCCGCCATCACTGCCTCATGAAGTTGTGATTTTGGGGCCACTGGCACAGCTCGCCGTACTGCAGACATGACAGCGAACGGAGAGAGGGAGAGATTATAAACTTGCCTGAAGAACGGTGATGCGGGATAGATCGAGCTACGGGGGCCGGTACGCTTTCGCCGTCAGCAGCAGGGCTCGAAGCGACCTGGTTTTCAGTGCCATTGAAGGTAATAGGAGGCAGCAGGGATAGCGAAACCCAGTGAAGTAGAGTGTTTAATAGGGGCGTTGAGGCGTTACGAGTGTGATGATGATGTCGGCATTACTCCTGAGTAAGCGGTCTGGTTAGAGCAGGCACAAAGAGCTGCGACCAGGAGGGTGTTTCGCCTTTGCAACGGATAGGCAATGCATCTTGCCGCGCCTTGAGAGGAGACTCAGTGACCCTCTTTCTCTCTGATACAAATCAGCTGTAGGTACAACCAGGTATCGAGGGAGGGTGAAAGAGGACCTACCTGTCGACCACTCGTGGTGATACTGATATGGCTTGTTGGGCTGTCCGATGCTGGGTGTACCGTGCGAATACGATCTGTGGAGCACATACCTGGGTGGCGACAGTCTACGGATTCGACAGCAGACGGAGCAGGCAGCCTGCGGGACTGGCGGTCCGCAGTTTGGCCTAGACACGGGCTATAATTGTTGTTGTGGAGAAGGACTATTGTAGCAGTGGCCAGCTTCTGCATATTTGCAGCCGGCCGCAGCACACTATGGTTGATTGATGCAAGCAAGTGTTGTTGCCTAGTGACGGCGGGCGGCTGCCGTTTCTATTTGACTGTGTGCGAGCTGTAGCTAGGAGCTGGTAACGGCTACTGCTGGCGTTTTACTGCTGGGTAGCTGCGTACGGCAGCTACATGCTGCGTACGGACTGTTGTCGCCGCCGATTGACTGGGCACGGAACTGCTGTGGTGTCCATTGGCTATGCACGACCAATTGCTGCCCTTGCTAACCAAGTACAGGTTGTCGCTAACTGTTGGAATGGTAATGTTGCTGCCCTTTGCCGTGTGCGAGCCTGTTGGTGGAAGCTACTGCGGTGGGGCTTGACCGCCGCTACTACTACTGGGGGTACCGTGAGTGTGACGGCTGTTTAAAGCCGTATGATTGCAGCTACACCACAAAAGGGGCGGGGGGGTACGGCTGCGAGTCAGGGGATCCTCAGGAGGTCAGCGGTCGGCGGCTTGACCTCAACTTTGACCAAGCTGCGCAGGCTGGCCGCCATTGTGGGGCCCTCAGGCGAGTCAAAATTTCAAGGCCCTCTCCTGCGAGTCTGAGTGCACCACTCCTGGATCTGAGAGGCTTGAACTTCCTCCTTTTGCCCTTCTTACTCTAAGTCTAGACTGTTGGTGCTGAGAGGGAGGCGGCAGGCGAGATTGCAACCCGTACTTCGCGCAAAGGCCTCTGTGGGAGGTTCGCCCCACCGATTGCGGGAGCTCTGCCGGAACTCAGGAGGGGTTTTGGAGGCAGGGAACTGAGAGGTAACCATTGTTTTCCCCTTTAAATAACCTGGAATAACCCCTATTTATACATCTTGCTATGTTTGGCTGAGTATACTACATGTACCCCTATGTTGACTTCTGTTCGGCTGGCAGGACGTGACTCAGACTAAGTAAAGGAATGTATGGGTAATCTCAATTTCAGTTTTGTTGATTGCCTGAATGCAGATTGTGAACAAAAGAGGTTGCATCTAGGGGAAGGGTGGGAGAAAGGCGGTTTGCCTGAGATTGAACGGGTCCTATGGGGTCAGGCATGTTCCATAAGATTGGATGGCTTGACCGCTGTGTTTATTCTGATTTTTCTGAAAAGGCCAAGCTATGTTTATAAGATGAATGGTTTTGTCGTTGTGTTTATTTAATTTCACCAGGCTTTGTTTCTAAGATAAATGGTCTGACTACTTATTTTGTGGAGGTTGCCTGTGTAAATTTAAGAATCAGACTTTGTTTCTAAGATGAATGGCCTGGTCGCTGTTTATTTCTGGGTGGTTTCTGAACAATCTCTGGGTTTGGCTCAGAGTGCTCTGTCTTCTTGTGCTCAGAAAAGAGGGTTGAGCTTTGTTTCTAAGATGAATGACTCAACTTTTTTGGCTGTTTTGTTTTGAGGGATCAATTCTTGCTGAGGCCAAAACATGTTCCATAAGATTGGATGGCTTTGGGCTCATGCCGCACACGGATGGCTCAGAGAGAAATAAACCTGGCAGGGGACCAGATATGTTCCATAAGATTGGATGGTCTGGCCCAATGCCTCGTACATGCTGAAACCCGAGAGGTTATAATTTGGCTATACCTTATTATTATTTTACTTATGAACAGGCACGGGTTCCATAAGATTGGATAGTTTGACTATAGCTTATGACAACTTGAAGAGAGCATAACTAAGAATATGATTGAAGGTAACTTTGGGCAGACTGAGTTTTGTTTCTAAGATGAATGACTCAGTCCTACGCCCAGCTTTTGAAGACTAAGTTCAGAGAGATATATACAACTTGGATATTAAACAGGTCAGGGCGACTAAGCATTGTTTCTAAGATGAATGACTTAGTCATATGCCCAAAGGAAGAAAAAAGTAGTTGTGCAACCTGTTCGTGTATGCTTAATGGTTGAGTCAAGCAGATTCCATAAGATTAGATAGTCTGACTTTACGCCTTATGTACGCAGGGTATAAAGGGTTAAAGCATTGAAACATTATGAACTATTGGTCTGCTAAAGTGATTGGGGGCTGGTGAGAGTACTTACCTTTGTGGTTGACATTGCATGTGGCTGAGTGAGATCACTACTTGGTCTGAGTTTCAGGGTGATAGGTAGTTGCTTTAGAGGCTCGCCAGGTGCTAGAGCGATAGGAGTTAGGTTGATTTCAGCATTTTCTGAGTTGACCTTATTTTACTCAGATCAATTACCACATTTTTTAGATCTTTTGCTATACTTGGGCTTGTATAAATTTTGGTACACTACTTTTTCTACGGGACGCGCTGCCGAAATTTCTGCAAATCCAGGGAGTTAGTCAAATTTTTGACTTTTCAAGTTCAACTTGGCTAAGGTTCGTATATGATTTAGTAAAAATATCAAAAGTCTTCCTTTCTAAAGGGAGTGCTGCCAAAATTTTTGCTAATTCAGGGAGTTCTGTTTTATATTCGGGCGAATATAAATTCTAAAAAGGCACTTTCCCTACGGGAAGCGCTGCCGAAATTTTCTTAGTTTAAAGGAGATATATTATATTTTGATAGGTAGTGACTTTGACAATCCACCTGGTATAGAGGAGACTCTGCCAAGGTCTACCCTTGCTTGGGCACTGTTTAAGAGGTAGGCTTAGGCTTAGTTAATTAAAATAGTTTGAGTGAGATCATGATATGAAGATTGTTCCCCATAAACTTATAGATCTAGTCGTGGGTATTGACTTTTCATGTGTTACAGGCCATCTTAACCAATCTGATTCAGGATCTGGATTAGGTTCAGCTCGATCCCGGGAGGATCCTCTTCTGTTATCACTGATAACAGGTCGGTTGCCGATTCGTCGGTCTACGACTCAATTCCAACTCACCCTCCACACTCAACCTAAAAGGCTTTGGCCCTGGTGAATTTATTGTTTTATTAAGGTTTCACCCGGACTTTTATTGAATGGTCATTTAACAAAGGTACTGAGTATTTAATTATGGTTGGTTGGACAGAGGACTGGGGCTTGCGTGGCTAAAGCGAGGGGTATGAGTGTAGAGAATGGTTGGGGTTGACTCCGTGTAGTGCGTGGACTGTTGCTTGGCTCTTTGATGTTATTGCAGGTATGTTTTGTGGTTCAGATTTCGGTCTTTGTTTGCTTGCGATCACATACATACATAGGGTTGTGGAGAACCCCACTTAGACTGTGAGAAGTGATCGTCGCAACTCTAACTCCCTTGTGTGTGTATGTTTGGGTGTAGTTATGGTGGGTGTTCGCTAGGCCTAAGGGGCCCCGTACTAAAGGCGTACTCAGAGAGATGTTTCTCGTATTATATGTTGACAGGAAAAGATTTAACATTCATGCAAAAAAACAAACAAAAAGTGATGCAGTTAATATTCTTCGCCAACTTCCTCTTAATATACAACTACAGTCGTCCTACGCTTTTCTCTCTCTGCCCCCTCCTAACGGCTGGCTCTCTCTCTCTCTCT